CACCATGAAACCTATGAAATGTGGCCAAAAGCATCTGTATTCTTCCTTCCTGAAAAGAAGATGCTTTTGTTATTCAGATGCTCTCTATAGCTTTTCATAGCTTAAATCTCCAACACTTCCCCTAGGTCATCCTGCTAAAGAACTGTACTGGGCCTGGCTAGGACAGAATTACCTTTCTTCCCAACAGCTCACATGGTCTTAGTCAAAGACCAAAGCAATAGACTGACCTTAGCAATGCTGACACCCTGATGCCAAACAGCTATTGCTGAACAGTGCTTGGAAAGCACCAAGGCATTCTCTTTCTCACTCCCACCAAAGGTAAGGCTGGGGGGGTGCAGTAATTGGGAGAGGATGCAACCAGGAAGACAATCTGAGCTAACMAAGGAGATATTCCATGCTCAGTCATATTAGTGAAAAATAGCAGGGCTTAGGGATGTTTGCTGCCATTTCCTTGGCTGCTCAACCCACAGTTTGCCTGTGGGATGTGACTTTTTTTTACCTCAATCCCCAGATTCTCTTATTTTTACTCTTCCTTCATTTCAAAGGGGCTTGGGGATGAATGAGTGGCAATTTGTGGTGCTTAGCTGCCTACTGGGCTTAACCTACAAAATAAAATAATAAATGGTATTAGTGATTTCCCACCTTTGTGTTGTGCTGCCCAGGATGTATGAGTAGGTATCAGGGCTTTGTGCACACTTGTGACATGAMTAAGCCTGTATTTGTGTCACCAGCAGATGTATGCTGTCCCATTTCTCCATGGTCAGATGCAGATGTGYGTGGTATGACATGACCAACATCTCTGAGGGATGGAAAGAATGCAGGAGTGGGCTGGCTGCCAGATGAAGTACTCACCCAGGCAGCATCCAGCTCAGTTTCTAGTTTGCCTATAGGTCTATCAGCATAATCAGAATAATTTTGTGTAACAAAATTATACATTGATTATGAGTTGTCAACATAAATCCTTTCAACAYGCCCCAAACTGAACACAAAAATTCTACCGAAACATGGCTATGTACTGCACATGCTCCTCTCCCTGGGGAGAGGGTGGGTGAAAAGAATGTGACAGATGTTGGGGACATTGTTTACTATGCTGCTGGAAGATGTTTCAATTATATGGCAATAAATACATTATAAGAAGCCATACAGATTAATTGCATTATCTCAGACAAAATTTGTATCAAGATATTGAATATTTTTTAGACTGGGAATATACTAGATAAAAATGATAGTACTTTTGGGTGTCATCCCACTGATATTTGTTACTTTTACTGCATTCATAGAAAGGTAACATTTATATTACTCAGTATTCTCWATGTCCTCTAACTGAGTGCTAAAATGCTGTATTGCATCACAAATAAAAACACACTTAGCATTAGATTTTCATACATAAATTTTATGGGTGAAATGGAAATCAAAATATACAGTCTCTAAGTCAGAAGTCATTGCAAGCAATTTTCCCTATTGACTTTAAAGGTATTTGAACCTGTGGCTTTTGACTCTTAAAATAAACACTGCATTGCTGTCACGTATGAAAAATATTATGAATAGTGAGGAACTGCAGAACTAGTTTAATCTACCTCTTAGAGCAAACTGAGAATCTCCTAAAGGGGCTTAAAGATTACAGTACGTCTGAAGCAAAGCTCTATCTTGCATACCACTGAAACATAGTACAAAGATTCCTTAAAGAATGTAGTTATTAACAGGGATATTTATTGATCATAACACAATATTTATTTTCTGTCAGTGGTATGAAAAAAATTTGCCATGATGAAGAGAAGCCTAAAAGATAGAAATCCTGACTTCCTACAGTTCCTAAGTGTGTTAGTTCCATTTAGACAACATACAGCCCTGTGTTACTTTAGGGAAGCTGGGTATGCACTTCCACACGATATTTATTTTCTCTAACCATATTATTTTAAAAATAAATATAAGACATTTAATAGAGTCTGACTTTCTTCTTTCTCAAAGAATTCTTCTGCAAAGCTGATCTTGGACCATTCTGCACCTTAGCTAGTTTGTTTTTATTAATTGTTAAAACAACACATCTTTTCTTGGTTTGTTTTTAGAACATAGAAATATAAATGGAGAAGGGTTTAATACAGAACAAACAGGGAACAGTATTTTTACAGAAAACTAAATGGATAAGCAGATGTCTAACCTACTTTGAGACCAACATGCTATGCAAATACAGTACATAGCTCTCCCTTGTATCCCAGGGCTATCTGTTGCAGAGTTACAGGACTAGCTGCTGCTTTACTTTCCAATTTACTTTCCACATACTTTTTGAATACTACCCATCCAAAAGGAAGATAAAGGAGCATTTTAAAATTTAAATAGCCAGGTATTTTAYAAGGAACCCTGTCCTGCCTTTGTAAAGAGCTGACAAACCTCACTAGATGTGCTGSTCTTGAACACATCTCACCTGACTAACATCATCCATAATCCTGTTGTCTTTCTGGTATAGATGCCCCTCTACTCTGCCTTTTCTGAGTTGGCAATCTGAATTCTGGAGTTCAAAGAACTCTTTGCCAGGACTGTGTGCAATTAAACTTCCCAAAGTTACAGCAAAGACTGACTGCACAACCTTTACTATGACACATATCAAGTAAAAAAAGGCCACTAATCAACTAATCTTAGTTGCATTAAAAAAATAAAACCACCAACCATAGTATTTTTTAAAATTTTCTCCTGAAGTTCAACAGATTATTTTGACTACAGAATCCTTCTTAATTTTCTGTTGCAAAGAGTGATCTATTACAATCATTAGTAGCTTCAAATATTAAAAGTAAATTTTACATCCTTAATAGTAGTCTGAATTAGTCTGCTTTTATTACCTCATTTGCTAAGATAAAGTAATTTGATTTTCTTCTGATCAGTAAGACTGAATAATCTGGTTTTGAATAYGACTTACATTATCTCAAATGTTTCCATTTAGTTCATGAAAGACAGTATCAAGAAATGGCTTGATTACTGTCTGGAAGTGCCACCTCAGCTTTACCTTTACTAAGCTATGCCCCCAACCACTGATGATAAAGCATATATCCCAAGAACTCTATCATTCTTTTAGGTCTTCTATGTACCCCTTTCAAGTTTTCTGCATCCTTCTTGATGTGCAAGTGCCAGAATCAAGTTCAGAATGAGTGGTGATCACAGCATTAACAACCACTGAATCAATGTAATTCAACAACTGCTTGATATTCCCCTTGCCCATTCATCTAAGACTCCCTTCATTCTTCTGCCTCCCCTTGACACTGGCAGCTGATTATACCATGACCCTTCAAAACTCCTTTAGAAGTCTGGGCTTTGTAAGGGAAGAATGAGGCACTCTGTAAATAGAACCTACAAATAGTTTCTACACAGTGATTTCTCTTTTGCTATCTATCCTATTCTTCTATTTTATTATCTTAGATCTGGAATATGCAGATGGAAGTGTATAGGACTTTTATTTGAACTCATCTAATGTCAGGGAGCTTAATTACATTTATATGGAATTGATCAATCTTAGAATTACTCCCATGTGATATTTCCCTCATGAACAACTGAACACAGCAGACTTATTTCTGCAGTTTTAAATGTGGAAGGAGTTGGTAAGATAGGAATGCTTAACTCCCCCTATTTACACTGTTTTCCTTCCACCTCCTTTATGAAGCTTTTTTGATTCACAATGAAGCTGACTCTAGTCTAACATTTGAATTTCCTACAACAATGTCTTTTGTAGGAAAACCATGATTATATTACTGTAARAAAATGTGCCAGATTTTGTCTCCATTTCTTTTCTACCGAAGCACTGGTCCTTATTCAAGGGTTTGTGTTACATTGCTAAACTACTTTGGTCATGAGTTTCTCCCCTCCTTGCCCTGAACACATAATTAACAAACTTCCAGTGGCAGCCCTTCACCCCAGCTGAAGCTGCTGCTTGGCAAACAATAAGATGGATCATGGCTTGAAYTGCAGTTCACTGGACACTGAGCAGGTGTTTTTATGTAAGAGCACCTAGGATATGGGCCCAGAAAACACACACAGACCTTCCAGTCTTCTGTCTTGCACTCACAAAGAGAAAGATTTTCAAATTGTACCAGAAAGTCTAACTATATAAGATCCAAAATAATCAAGATATTTCTCTAGGAGTATGTGATTGATTTTGGTCAGTCAACTTGTAATGAAAATGTACATGGTTTCGGCCTGATGAGTCTTTACATAGCACAATTCTGGAAATAATTAAGACTAAAAAAATATGTAATTTTAGTGCTACAGAAGTGGAAAAAAGAACAATTAGGGTTTTCTAAATTTAAATGCAATTTATTGGGTTTTAACCATCTGATTTAAAATGAAAGACCTTTTTTCCTGTTTTGTGCAAATTCATAGATTTAAATTTAGAATTTCTGCAATAAGTATAAAGGATTCAAATTGTGGGCCCTTAAATTAGCAGGAATGCTTGCTAGTGCCTTCAGTGGAAATAGAGAGTCAGAAATAGACCAAGGTATTTTCTAGGTGAATAAGGATACAGCATTATTCAAATGCATGCAATATTTCAACCTTTTCAGTGTTAAAAAAATAATGAATTGTCTTTTGATTTTATATTGTGGAGATGGCAGAATGCATCTCAAGTAGTATTTACAAGTGGTTTTCCGTCCTACATCTTAAGGAAGTAAAAAAAATCATACTCAAAACATTTCTAACAGTGGCCAAAAATCCAGCATTAGAAAGTTGACTGACTTTGTGGCTTGCTTCCATATAAAAAAAAGTTTTCTTACATGTAAGACACTTCAACATTTGGTTAAAGGATGAAATATAACTTAGTGGATACCATGTACAACAGAGTAGGAGCTGTGCTAGTCTGAACCCATTTAAATATAGTTTTTCTAGTAAAAAGTAATCTCTGCCTGACCTACACAGACTTGATGGAACTATTTTACATGCTATAATCTATGCTAAGCAATGTTTGTCTTCTAGAGCAGACAGTGACCTGAATTCCAAGGAAAATATTTAGAATTTCATACCAGAACTTGTACTCTAGATTCTTCTCAACAATCCTTTGTGATTTCTTTTCAGCACACACAGATTTTTCTTCTTAGTCCAAAATTTATCTTCTATTTGGATTTCGATCAGTTCCTTGTGTTTGTGAGATAAGCAGGAACATGCAAAGAAAAGAAAAAGGGACAATGAAAAAAGAGACCCTTGAACGTGAAGCCTTGCTACCTCAGAAGGGTTACAGAGAAAAGCACAAGCATAAGACTTCAAAAACAAATGACTGAGCATATGCTTACATGGACAGCAACTCCAGTYCCCCTCAAATGTAAGCACCTATTTGCTTACAGGAAAACAACTTTGAAGAAGACTCTTCRTCTTTAAGTCCAGTAATATTTGGTCCAGGTAATTGCAATGCAGTTCACTCCTGCAGGGACATCCTAACTATGATGGTACTTCAAAATGGTCTCCTGCAAAGATCTGATCTACTGCCTTTCCTCTAGAGAAGCTTAAATATCTCCTCCCACATCTGTGCATGTTCAAAAACTACAAATAAACAAACAAACAAAAACCAAAACAAAACAAAAAAAMMCCTAGAATTTGCAAAAGAGGTTTTTTCAGAGGTTTTCTCTTATGTTAGGAGCACTCAAAAAAGTTCTGGAGCTCCTGGACATATTACACAGATTAATTCTGGTACATGGAAAGACAAGAACAGCAACTGCACAGTTAGTGGTTGGATTTCTCTGCCCTGTTTATCTTATCCTAAATGGAATCACAGCTTTCCCTGTCTTTGGTGTAGGTCCAGAGACTGAGGCATRCAGAGCTGGTGACTTCCATGGGAATGATAACATGATAAAATGAGCAATAACGGTGCTTCAGGTTTTTTTAGTTACTATTTAAAACCTGCACAGCCCACAAAATACTTAGAAGTAAAAGCAGTTAGCAAGAAGTTCCCATAGTTTAGCAGTTCAATTGGCCAGAGATGCAATGCAACACTTCATGTAAGAATAGTCACAATCATTARTGCCAAAGTTCCACCACTCTTAGACCAACACCACACTGAGCTGTCTGACCCACTCTAACCTACAAAGAGCTCCTGCAAAACAAACTTCTGAGACTTCACTCAGTACAGGATGCCCAGCAATGTTTATGCTTTTCTTACTGCYAGGAAAGTACAGGAATCAACATTTGACTCTCAGTTGCCACTTTCAAGGAATATGTAGATTTACTGCTGTGAACAACGTAAATTTCACCTACTGCAATAAGCAGGATCAATAACAGCCCACTCACTGCCGTATAAGAGAAGGCTCTTGTCCAGGTTCAAGTATTACAGGCTTCTTTCTCTTCTCCTACATTTACACTGGTACTTCCCTAAATGCTGCCTTTCTTCATGCAAATTCCAAAAGCAGAACTCATCCACAGGATCACTGTCTCAGCTTCCTAAAGGACACTTTCCTTGCTTTAATGAAGTATTTTTAATGATTCTTGTTTGTTTTAATGACAAGAAAAGGGCAAGATGGGTCTACCAGCAGCAAGATATGTCTGTGTTGGAAGCTGACTAGAAACCATATTCTAGTCAGGGCTCTGTTCAGGGTAACACCCTAATGGTGTTACCATGGCACTGAGCCACAGCTAATATTCTCTGTCTTTATATCACACTAAACATTAGCAGATATCTTCTTAGCTTCTTCAAGCTCAGGCAGCAGGAGCTTACATCTGCTTAAAAATTACATAGATGCACCTCAATGCATAATTCCCTTAAGAAATAAAATGGCACCTTTGTACTTMCAAGCAGCATACCCAAGCACGCTAAGGAGAAATACACCCTTATGCCTAATGCCTCTCCCTGAACTCCATTTGTCCATTATATTCCTTTGCTGAAATACCTAACCTTTAGGCAAAACCAATCTCTTACACATCTCCATGAAGCCAAACTCAACAGAATAATGTATCTAAACAGGGACTGTCCACATTAGTATAACTTCAGTAAAAATTACAGACCTCAAAAGAATTGCTGAAAAAATTCTGTGCCTTTGCATATGTGAATTGCAGCAGTGGTTTTAATACCATGAATGCATATTTACTACCAAACAAATTAGTATAAAAACCAGTTATGTTTTACTATTTTATTCCCAGGTGATTGATATCACACAGACTCATACCCACTCATTCATCCAGTATTTCAGTGTTCCCCMAATAGTAATAAAAGAATCTTTTCCACAACCTATTCACTAAGACAGCATTGGTAGCCATAATTTACAGACAGAGAAAATGAAGACATAGATGTCTAGGTCCAAACTGTTTCCAGTACTCTTCTGTTCCATGCACCTGATATTCTAAGGTTCAACTTTTCAGGACACTCAGGATTCAGTAAACAGCTCCATTTCACAAGATTTCAGTTATACTGGTGATGTCAGAACGRCAGCAAATTTGGCTACATGTGTCTCACAACTGTTAGAAAATGAAAGGCCATCTTTGAASCCCCGACCTATATAACCCACTCAGCAAAAACTAGTAATTTAGTATCCAAGACAGGCAGAAACTACTCCTCTAAGGCAGCATTCAACYTCCCTGCGCTGAGACTATCCTTTGTCTTCCTGCATTCCTCTGTGCCCATTCAAAACTCTACTGCAGGTAATAAGGGTGTGCTGGGGAGAAAGCCTTTTAAGAACAGAAATGAGGAGCACTACAATGGATAAATTATGTTTACATCAACAACATAAAATAAGAAATGTCCTAACATTTTGAYCCTTCAGCCATATCAGAACAGTTTAATTTTTATACTTAACCATTCCCAAAATACAGGAGTTCTACTATGGCTCCATATCAGCAGTTTGATTTCTGAACCTGTCAGATAGACTTCACCTGTACAAATAAATGGAATCAATACCAAGCCAGAAAGCACTGAAGTGAAGAGAGGTTCTTTGCTTGTTCTCTCTGCTGTTCAAGGAGGAACAATGAAAGGGAAAGTTCTACTCAACGACTTGGCTGCAGATAATGTCTTTGGAAAATGTCACTGGCAAACTTTCACCCACCTCATCTAAGAACATATATAAACTTAGATTMTTTTTTTCAAAGGCTTATAATTAGATCAAAACTCATATTTTCACAAGGACAGGAAAAAATACATTCATAATACAAGGCAATAATTAACTCAAATTTCAGGTCCTGGTTTAATGAAAAGGTTACCAAAAACATTRTTCAATGGGCAAAATGACAGCTACTCCCTAATCTTGCTCTTAACAACTGACAATCTTATAAGCAATTCAACACAAGGTCTATGGTAACTTAACTACAGTAAGTACAAGGAGTACTTGTGGTTACTCTGTCTACAGGCATGTACAATGCTGCCATAAAGTCAAAAGGATAAACTGAAGCTTAAGTTACAGCAGTTTTCATCAGCTAAAGCTAATGTTCTAAACTGTATTTTTATGGATTCTACCTTTGATTCATGAAACTCAAGACACTGCCTTTGAAAACCTACAGAAAAAAACCACATGGTAAATAGTTATCATCACTTGTAGGAAATTTCAGTCAGCACATTACCTGTCAGTGTTATCTCATATTACCCACCCACTCCAAGATGGAAACTGTGAATCCAAAAGTCCAATGTTTGGCAGATGTTTGCAAGTGTTCTTTATGTATCAGAGATACTTGAGAATTCTAGGTGTAAGACAGCTAGATGRGAGGAGTGGGAGAGCTCTCCACTGCCAAGAAAGAAGTCAGATGCAGAATTTATCCCATGTTTTCCAAACAAGGGATAAATCCAAACAGAACACCAAACTTGCTTCAGCAACTCTTGTYCATGTGACCCAAACACACTGCATGTGCAGCAGCCTAGCAAGCATCCAAGTAAGGAAGACAAGAGATTACCTTCAACAAATATTAAAGAACTGTTTTCTTCATGTATGCTCTCCTTGTTATACTATCTGTCAATGTTACAGGCATATCAGCAAGACTTCCAGTGCCAGAAGGAATTCCCCACTTCTTAGTCCTGACCACCAAGTCAAACACGGAAATGAGGGTTCACAGWTCTTCTGAATATCAAAAATAATAGACTCAACTGGAGATGCCATTTCACTGGATGGTGACACTCCATCTTAAGCCTTCAGTGTTCTGGTGAGAATGATCTCTTTTCCTTCTGCCCATGACAGAGCACTACCTCACAATTTCTACCCATAGTATTTTACAGGTGATAACCACACTTTTCATCAAATTAGCTATTTAATTGCCATAATTGAAATAAATTTACAACTCTTCCAAATCTGGCCTAAACCTACAGCTAGCTGAACAGCAGAGCTGATCTAATGGACCAGTTGTGCCAGAAAGAAGGGAAGCACCACTAYGGAACTTGTTAGTCCATCTGTAAGTCCATTTAATACCCTAGAGTGGCAGAAAACTTTTTATTAGTTTCTAGTGGTTTAGTTAAAYCTAGTTTGTTTGGGGGTTTAATGACTGCCAGGGCTCAGAGAGCATAAGCCACAGCAGCAGCAGTTCTCTTGCTCTATWGCAGTGGCTGTAGATGTCTGCTGAAACTGCATCCCTAGGTCACGGTTTGCTGCTATTGTTCCACACCTGAGGAAGGGCTTCAAGAGTTTGTGTGGTTTACCTATTGTACCAGTTGGTGAAACAAGAGCTACTACACCTTGAGAGGCCAGATGTTAAAYTCCTCTGTTACAAGTCTGTCACCAGTTTCACCCAGCTTCACAATAAATAAATTGAAAGAGCTTCTCTACAATTAATGGTAATTTTGAATTAGAGGCTAATCCCATGTAAATTTACATTTTAAATTTTCAGCAATGAATGCACAAGAGTTTCACATCAATAGTAGATTTTARACAGTAGCCTGTGTGAGGCACCAACTGTCACTGAGTACATCATTTAAAGTAAATGCATTTGCATTGCGTGATCACTATCCACACAAAAAAAAAAACCCACTTGTACTTTTGGTAAATATGTATTTGGGATGAAAGCATAAAATTTTACTTTATCTATGATATATCAAAAGAGTTAAGATGGAAAGCTGAAAAATATTGGTTTGATTAAGCAGCTCTTCAAAATCACTTTGTATGCAGGGAAATTCTACAGCCAGAATCAACCAAGAATACTTACTCAAAATATCATTTATATCATATAAAGGATCTCTTGTCTCTGCAGCTAGTACTGATGATTCTTCAAAAAAGTAAACAACAATTTTATAAAACCATGAAAGAAAGAAACATCTTTAACTTCATTCAATACACATATTTTAAGAGATGATCTTTCATCTGAAAAGAGAACTGTGCTTTCATTATGAAATTAATCAAGAGTCTGGTTTCTTACACATTCCATTCTTCTTCTTGAGGAAGGAAATAAATATAATTACATTTGCTTTAATCAGTGGTGACACTTCTCTAAGAATYGCTCAAGACTTTTATCTCAAGATCAACTACTTTTTTTGTGGCAGAGAGAATTTCTCTCTCTCTGTCTGATCTGAGTAGTAGTAACCAGCACTGAAATCTATCTTCAGAGTATTTAACTTTTGGATTCCCTTTAATGTGCTTTGCTTATCCACAAAGATTTGAATAGATGTAAGACAATGTAAAAGGTCAGAATGGATGACAACAGRTTCCCCAAGAGTTTGTAGTACACAAACTAAGCTACAGGAGGTGAGTAAAACAAGCATGTAGGGTGGAGTTTGAAAGATGAGAGTAACAAACTGGATGTGAGCAATTTACAGCAATTACAAAGTAGGACTCTCCCAGCTGGTACAGTATAGCTGTACTTACTGATTCAGTTGTCAGAAAAAAATCCTTTGACACTACCATCAATAACATGCATGTAATGAGAATCATAGCCATGAATCAGGAAAATATCACCATTGACCATTTAGGTCTCACTGCTGTTTCTTGCTACATCTCCACTAGTGATGTTGCATGTAGGAAGGGTTCTTTATAAGAATTAATGTGGATTACCAAGTGTTTTTCCTCTTTGGGGAACAACTGATACTGAAGCTAAACAAAGTGGACACCAAATCATCCCCTGACTGCAGTGTGGACACCTGCTCTTCAGCACTCATTGCTCCATCTCCGTGTATGATCCCTTTAAAACAATGAGCTTCAACTGCCACTGAAGACTCAATGTGGCAAGGCAGGTTGTTAAGAACAAATCCTACATAACCCAAACACAGCAAAATTCAAGTTACAAAGATCAGATACTTCACTTTTATCTGCACTGACCTCCACTGTTCTCAAAMTTCTGTGCATCCCACAGAAATTTGCTCATCAGTCCTAAAAATGGAGCTGCACAGGAGCAACTTTAAACCAATACATGTTAGCTCACTTTACTTTGCATATGCTGCAGGCTTAGAAGTGAAATCTAGAATTTTTCATTTCCATTCTGAATCCTAGAGTGTTCATTGAGCAGGGAGAACCAGCTAGAGCAGAGTGGTGAGCCCATTTTCAGTATTACTTCCTTAACTGCTTTCAGCTGAGGTCTGGGCACAYAGAGTGCTACACACACTGTCTGTTATACATTGCCTACCTTCTTTGTAAAGAAATTCGATAAAAAAGGATGAGTGCTGTTTGATGGTTGAACAAAATGCACAAATAAAACAGCATTTTTTCCAGTTTGTTAATTTGACCACCCAGCATACCTAAGAGATTCTCTATTACAGTATTTTCATTGTTATGTGCAGTCTTAACTTGGTTAACTTCAGAATCTTCTGATAGGACGATATTAAAAGCCTCACAATAACCCTGAAGTAATCCAGTTTTTTCCACACTCAGCTGCTCAAATCCTCTAATTAATATTATGACGTGCCACTGCATAGTTCTAGACAAACAAAAATGGTAACATGTCCTTTTGCCCCAACAGTGACAAACACCCAAAGCAATCCTTCCCRTTCCCATTTGGAGAATGACTAGAGGTGCAAAACACAGGCAATGAGATAAAGGATACCTGATGCCACAGGAAACAGAATAGTTTACCAGCAARACATACAAAGACTTTCAGGTACTTTATCCTGTAAAAYCACGTGGTGGTAAGTGTAAAGCACTAGGTCCCTGCTAGAAATAGTGACTTTGTTTCTTGATGGTGGMAGGTATGATGAGAAAAAAAAAAAWTAATATTGTAAAATTCATGGTTATGCCTCTATGCAGGAAGAGAAAAATGTGTMCCAAAAATATGGAGGATGAAAAATCCACTTTGGAAGCAAGTTGGAAAGGATGACTATATATAGGATCCAGACTCTATCCCATTTAAAACAGCAATAGGCAAGAGACTCAGGAACAAAAGTCTATCTAGGTACCACAACAACGTGTTTATTAAATCGACTGGCTGAGCTTTTAAAAATACATATTTATATATTTTTTACTTCAACAGAGACTATTTTTGCTTAACAAAACTAAGCAAAACAAAATCCAGATTAAGAGCATCTGGGATCTGTCTCTGGCTTCAGGGCAGGGACATACCATGATACTATTTTTTGGGGTCTTTTTGTTTAAATTTTATTAAAAATTAATACACTTTGAATAACACAGTTACTTGYTACTTAATTCTTACCATTTACATTCCTTTTTTTGATTATTTGGCTAAAATAATGGGTAACAAGTTGATAACTTTCAGAGATTACAATTTAACCACTGAGCCAGAAAAACTGCAACTGAGTGTTGCAAAACTTTCACAGTTCACAAACCAGCCGCGGGAAACCTGCTGGGTTTCTGAGCATTGTCTACACTTCTGACATCCCATTGCGTGTCAGAAACTGACACCAACCTTTCACTATCTACGGTACCAACTATGCTCCTTCACAGTGCTGTGCGTATGTGAGATGATTCACTTGCTTTTATTTCATGGAACTGATGATTCATTCAATCGTCTCCAAATCATATTAACATACTAAATATACAGATAAAGCATGCAAAAATCAAGTTCTTAAACTTTTTTCACGCGCAAATGTTTATTGTTTTCTTTGAGATAGAAAAGAAGCAATCAAACATGGGAGAGGAAGCAGGACAGGTTACGTTTCTGCTCAAAGGCAARGTTTGGGGAACACACCCAACCCACGTGTAAGACGAGCAGCCGTATTCCAGCGGCGGAGTGCGAGTGGAGAGAGCTCCCGTSCCCTCCCGGCCGCTGCGGGCCGGGGCTGCTCCCTGTGCCCGGGTACCTGGAGCGGGCRAGGCGCGGCGGACCGGTGCGTTCCCCCTCCGCCACACCGAGGGCTTGTGCCTCTCCTCCTCCGGTGRCATCTTACATAATAAGCCGAGCTAATCACGCCGGAAGCGAGCCAAACCGCCACGGAGCATCAGGGAGGAAAACTAGCCGCGGGAGGAGATGCTCCGGACCGGCACCCGCTCCTCGCTCGCTGCCCGCCCCGGCGCCTTGCTAGAAAAATCCTCGCCGGGGCGGCAGCGGCTCCCGCAGCAGCCGCCAGACGCGGAGCCCTCGCTCGTCCCCCGCCGCGCTGCGCGCCGTCCCCCCCGGGAAGCCGCCGGCACCGCGAACGGCATCAGCCTCTCCCGAGCGCCTTCCGCGCTCCCAGCCCCGCCGGCTCCAGCTCCAGCCCCGCCGCCCTGCCCGGCCGCCGGCTCCCTCCTTAGCGCCGAATTGGAGGAGAAAGTTACTCGGCGGCGGCCCGGCGTCCGCCRCCGCCGCCGCAGTTCAAGAGCAATGTCACGTTCAACAACTTGTTATGACACATGATCCCTCCCGCCCGCATCCGCACCTCGGGCCGCCTGCCCGGCAGTCCCGGCGGGCCCCTTACCTTCCCCTGCAGAGGCCACGGGCACCCGCGGGCGTGTGCGGGAGTGGGTGCGTGTGGCAGCGCGGGCGGCGCCGGCTGGGCGGGCAGGCGGGCGGGGGATGGGAGGGCGGC